TTTAATAATTCATTAAGCCTCTCAAACTGTAATTGTGTTAATCTTATTGAGGACAACCTTGGCTAAATTAGGTATATATACTGTATATATCTATACTTCTTTTATTGATGTCTGTACATCTCCCTCAACTAAATATTTTTAATGTTCATTATTAAATGATTAATAAACTGTCAAATAGCTTTCTGGATATAAAATAACCAAATATATGCAACAATATCAACAGGAACTATTAAAATTAATGTACTTGTATGTCACTAATTATCAGTGATGCTGTCATTTTGAACAATTGTGCCACAATTATTGTCTTCCAATTCAGATGTAGTAACAGTTTGGAATGTATGTGTGCCTCGAGAAGTTGGTTGAGGAAACAATATGTGTGACTGCTGTGAGGTATAGACACTTTGAGCATTGGGTTGAGAAAATGGCAAGTGTGATTGTTGCGGGGGGTAGACACTTTGAGCAGTGCGTTGAGGAAATTGGATGTGAGATTATTGTGTGGGGTAGACACCTTGGACATTATGTTGAGGAAATGGCATATGTGACTGTTGTTGTGCATGTATACCTTGTGCATTACTATAAGGATTACTAGTGAATGGCACCTGCTGGCATTGGTTCGATCGTATCAAACCACACAACAAGTCGAACTGCTTCATTTCTTGCTCTCTTGAATGCTGCATGTCATCTTTGAGAATTTGCAGCAATTCTTTAGTTGGATCATTCTTAATTGTATTTTGCAATAATTCAAGAGAGCTGGCGATAACATCAGTTTTTGGTCGCTTAGCAGAATTTTTTTTCACAGGCACAAACATTTCCTTGTCTCTCTCAACCTTGCTAGCAGAATCCTCAGACCCACTCTCTTTACCATCATCAAGTTTAGCAGAAGGTTCTATGGCATTTTCTGGTTTACAAGAGTCCCTTGTCTTAACGAGGGGATACAGTACATTAAACCAGTTCCCATATCCTTTGCTCTCAACGAAACATTTAACTCCTGATGCTGATTTGATTGTTAGACAAATTTTCTTGCAAGTGCTTATGCACCATTTTAATTTATTCCTCATCTGTTGCACTGTAAAGGGGAAATCTTTTCCAAATGCATCCTGACACTTCTGGTTTAACTTAGGCAAATTTTTTTGGTAAGCATCGCTATTTTTTCTTTTTTTCACATTGGTAAATACAAGTTTACGTACCAGCTCATCGTCGTTTACAATCATGTCCACCATATCCGTGATCTGACTATCCTGCCACATCGCTTCTCTGCCAGATTTCCTTCTAGGTTTGATAGGTTTGACACTCCTGCCCGATTGACTATCAGAGTCACTATCGCTTGTTTCACCTTCTGTTCCTGACTCGCCATTTCCATTTAAACTAAACGGGCTTAGTGATCGTGGGGTAGAGGTCGTAGAACTGCTTGAACATTTAGATTTTCTGCAATCACTTTCTTTGTTACTTGAATCCTGGTCAAAGTGGTCAGGTTCGAGGTCAGGTTTACAAGACATACAGTAGGAAACACTCTTGAATTCTTGCCAACCAGGTACATATTCGTTTGGTTCAGCAACAGAGCATTGCGGACGTAAACATACATATTTAGCACATGAAATACAATCATATTTCGTGATTTCACCACAATTTTTACATGAATTCATTGTTCTTTTGGTGCACTACAGTATATTTCGCGCATTAATTTCCCGCCCGAATGAGGAAAATCACGTACTACGCATGTCCAGTAAGTAGAAGTCGCTAAAATATGAACTACGGGCTCGGAAATATAAGTTAACATAATTTATGCATTTAATTCGACGCGACGATACGACGTCGTATGAAACGAAGACGCGCTACAGACGTTGTATCCGTCTGACCATGACGGATAAAACGTCTTGGACGAATTTAATTCATCAGACGGATTTAATTCGTTTCATGCGACGCACTACCGTCGCATTTAATTGGATCAATTAAATTCGTCTGAATTAAATTCGACGATAGTGCGACGTATGAAACGGGCCTTAGCTATGGTTCCCGCGACGACAACTGGCTGCTTCGTGTTTGCAGCTAGAATTATTTTCTTATTCTGAATTTCGGTCAACGGAAGGTCATGAGTCTCAAATAGTTGCTGCAAGTTAGTCCCTTCCTCAGGCATTGGTAGAATAAACTGCGTGGGAGCTGGTTTTACTGGTGCAGTTTCACTTTGAAAAATCAGCGTCTTTGCTGCAGTGCACGGCGCCGCCTGTTTAGGTTGCGCTGATCGTTTCGATGGCTGCTTACACGACGGAGAAATCTCAATACAACGTTTTACTGAACAAGATTGTTCCTCCACAACTTGCATGCTTTGGCACTTCTTCCTAAAGTCGACCATTTTCGAAATAAACGCTTCGCAGTTTCTGCAAATTAACTTCGAACTTGAATAGTCGTCATTGCGAATCGTAACTCCACAAGTACTAACAATTTTCGCACATAAATCATTCTCGATACCACTTTTTCCGAATATTCGTGTCATATAACGGCTTTGATACGAACTTCCACAAAGACAACAACATAAACTTCGAACACAAATTTTTTTTGGAGTCATATTTTCGTCCTCGCTGGCGCCTGCCATTTCACGGCTAAATTATACTAATTATTTATTACCACTCTAATTATGCGAAAATCTCTAAAATAGAGCAACCAATGAAATTGCAGAACGGACCGGCCGGTGCCAGGGCCTTTTCCCGCCTTCCCAGTGACAAAAAGGGAAAAGCCCTGGGAACGAGGTTGCACTTGCTCTAAACCAATCTGAAAGCCGCTTTTAACACAGGTATGGGATAAAACCTCAAACGCTTCGCAAGACGTTTTAAAATGTTCGTTTTAAAACTAACCTGCCTTTATCGAAAAACTTTGAGTTTCAAATAAAATGATTTCAAATTCTCGCATTCATTTGCTTTCTTTTTTATTTAAATATTTTAATATAATAAAAAAGGGTAACCAATAAAGAAACACTGAAATTATATGCTGTCTTTTTCATTTAAAGGCACAGTTCAACCTTTTGAATGATGGTTTTAAGGCGCATTTCAGCCCCTGTAATTGAAAAAAACTAACTGGGAAAATCAATTAAACATAATTCAAGATGAGTAAACTCAATGTTTTTAACAATAAAAATGTTTTAAAATGTTAAAAACGTTAAGTTTACTACTCTTGAATTATGCTTAATTGTTTTCCTAGTTAGCTTTTTCAATAGACGATTCCCCTTATTACGTTTTCGTAGCGCTTTGCATTGTGGTTATAGTGGTATTACTGATATTCAAGATGGCTTATTTTTTGTCCGGACCCGTGCAAAAACTTTAAAAAAAAAGCTAGGGTCGGCATGTAGTAAAACACTGACTACCGGAACACCGGAACACCACCGGAACACCACCTAACCCTAACCCCCAACCCTAACCCTAACCCCCAACCCTAACCCCAAACCCTAACCCCAAACAAAATGGTGGTGTTCCGGTAGTCAGTGTTTTACTACATGCCGCTAGGGTCAGGTGCGTGATAGCCAACAGCAAAATATTCTCGAAAACATTCAATATTTTCATTCGAGGCCGCTATCTTTATCAGTGATACCACTATAACCACAATGCAAAGCGCCACGAAAACGTAATAGGGGGAATCGTCTATTAAAACGGGCAAAATGCGCCTTAAAAACCATCATTCAAAAGGCTGAACTGTGCCTTTAAAATATATGCAACGATCGGGGGCCGGTTGTATAAAAACATCGTTAACGTTAACTATGATTAGCGTTAATAACTGTACTTAAATCCTTAATTATAAGTAAACGGCTAAACGCATGCATTGAGGGAAATTAGTGATTATGTACCCCGAGGTACGCTTTTGTCTTCTAAGGGGCCGACCATTTAACTTTTGAGGGTGATTTACTGCTTGGCGGGGATTTTTCTGGGATCATTTTTTATCCATCACCGTATGTACGATTTTTTACACTCTTTCGCAGCATTTTTCAGTAACAGCATACTATTTGGGTTCTTTAATTATCGTTAACGTTAGGTTGCTTGCTTCGTGCATTGCTCTTAATACTACATACTGCTATGAGGTATAAAATTTGGTCCAGGGCCTTTTAGGATGTGTAACTGGAGGACATAGTGGGGGACATGGAGAAGTTCCAGTCGGCAAGTCTGTATCCAGGGCCGTAGCTAGCATGTATAGTTTGGGCGGGGGGGGGGGTGTAGGCCAAAAATTTCCAAATGATGAAACAAATTTCCGAATATATCATGGCATACTAAGCCATGAAGGTGTTTGCTATTCCGAAAATGAAGACGCAATTTACAAACAAGACATATTACAGAAGCAGTGCGGTAAGGAGCCTTTATTTATTGGGGGGAGAAAACGAGGGCCGGAGGCCCGCGGGAATTTTTAAATTTAGAGTCTCTGAAATGCATTTCCTGGACTTTGGGGAAGTTTTGACAGAATGCCGATGGTCAGAAAAAAGCGTTATAGTATGTCGAAATTTACAATTTGCTTACAATTTATAGTGACAATACAATTTTATACTATTTTATACTGATTTTCTGAATATGTTGATCCTAAAAATGTTGGGGGGTTAACCCATAGATATAGGAGATCTAGATTGCTAACGCATACCTAGCGCAGGCGGGGCCTACATGATAAATCCAAGATGGCGGTACAACAGGGCAAAAAGACTATAGATTCTATAACGAAAATCAGGATTTTTGCATTTTTTGCCGTCGCATTGTTTCGAAACTTATTCGGTCAAGGTTTATGGTAAAGAGAAACTTACCGCGAAGATTTTGAGCATATATATGATTGAATTGGATGAAAAATCGCAAAATTATCCAGCGATAAAAGTTCGTGTGAAATGGTCAGTTGGTCAGTTGGAGCGTTTTATTGCCAGAAATACTGTGCTATGTTAACATCTAGCCTTGTGAATGGTGTTTTATACTTGCATCTCTCATCATCATCTGCTCTGTCCTCATAATTGTGAAAAATGAACTGTTATGTACCCCCCCCCCCTTGCTTGTTAGAGAAGTAAACTGATGAGAGCACTGGATGAGGGTCTATCATCTATGGTCTGTTATAATTTGCTTTTTATGCAAATAGTGAGCAAAAATTAAAGCAAAACTGTACAAGTTACTTATATAGTACTATATCAGTACTATACACGAACTTTTATCGCTGGATAATTTTGCAAGTTTTCATCCAATTCAATCATATATATGCTCAAAATCTTCGCGGTAAGTTTCTCTTTACCATAAAATTTGACCGAATAAGTTTCGAAACAATGCGACGGCAAAAATGCAAAAATCCTGATTTTCGTAATAGAATCTATAGTCTTTTTGCCCCGTTGTACCGCCATCTTGGATTTATCATGTAGGCCCCGCCTGCGCTAAGTATGCTTTAGCAATCTAGATCTCCTATATCTATGGGTTAACCACCCCCAATACCCCCCCTCGCTACAGCCCTGTCTGTATCACTGCAGCTACCTACACCATATATATGCATGGTTTAACTAATAACTACGTCATAGGGCAGCAGCTCAGGCCATACTAGGACTCTGAGACAACTGACTCGACCACCGAAGGTGCGAGCCTCTAGAGGGGTCTGGGGGCATGCAGTCTGGGGGCATGCCCCCAGAAAATTTTGGGTTTTTTGAAGCTCAGATAAGCTATTTCCATTTCCAACAAGAAATTAACCTTACACTAGTCCCTGAAAATCAAACCAGCTGATCTTCTCGGACTGGTCAAATCGATCCTTGCAACCAAGCTGTTTCGCAACATTTTTTTCCCCACCAAATACAGGGGCAGGATATTTTTCCCCAGTTTGTTAGTGCAGGTATTTTTTTTTTGTTCAGAATAGCCTTGCAGGATTTTTTTTTCAAAATCACCCCCCCCTCAAAAGTTAAATGGTCGGCCCCTAAATATCCCTCATCAAGCATGCGGGGGAAAAGTAGAAGACAAAGAAATCCTTTGTTTTCGACTAAATTTCCCTTTTTCTCGGGGAAATTTAGAAGACAAAAGCATAGGTTTCTTAAGAAAGAAACAACAACATATTATATTGCTACATATATGATATTGCTATATATATTGCTATATGATATATTGCGTGGTTTTTGAAAACGAAGCAACTACTATATTAGCTATATTGATATATTGCGCGTCTCTTGAAAACAAAGCAACGACATATATAGTCTAGCATATTAGCCTATGCTTTGCTATATTGCGTGCCTCAACCAAATGAACCAACAACATATTATATTGATATATTACGTGAGTTCTTAAGAACAAAGCAACAACATATTATATTATTGATATAAGGATTTTCCCGTTCCCGTGTTATGTATGTGCATGGTCTCTTGAGAACGAAGGAAAATTATATTGATATAGTTGCGCATCTCCAATTGAGAACAAAGGAACGTTTCTTGACTGAACGTCCACAACATATTATATTCAGATATATTGCGTGATTTCTTAAAAACGAAGCAATTACAACATATTATATCATGATTGATATAAGGATCTTTCCTTTCCGCGTTATATACGTGGTCTCTTGAGAATGAAGCAACAACATATTATATTGATATATTGCGTGTAGGTTTCTTAATTTAAGAAACAAACAACACCATATTATATTACTATATGATATACTGCGTGAGTTCTTAAGAACGAAGCAACAACATATTATATTTATTTATTCATGTAAGGATCTCGTGTTATGTACGCGTGGTCTCTTGACAAAGAAGCAAAATGATGTTGATATATTGCGTGAGTTCTTAAGAACGAAGCAACAACATATTGTTATATATTATTGATATAGGCTAAGAAATGTCTATTGACTTGCATATTATTTTTCCATTGGATCCAGTTGATCTCTTGAGAACGAAGCAACAACATATTATATTGATATATTGCGTGTAGGTTTCTTAATTTAAGAAAGAAAGAAAGAAAGAACAACATATTATATTGCTATATGATATATTGCGTTCTTAAAAGAACGAAGCAACAACATATTATATTTATTTATTCATATAAGGATCTTCCCGTTCCCGCCTCGCGTGGTCTCTTGAGAACGAAGCAAAATTATGTTGATATATTGCGTGAGTTCTTAAGAACGAAGCAACAATTAACATATTATATTATTGATATAAGGATCTTCCCGTTCCCGTGTTATGTATGTGGTCTCTTGAGAACGAAGGAAAAATATATTGATATATTGCGCGTCTCTTGAGAACAAAGGAACGTTTCTTAACCGAACGTTCACAACATATTATACTGATATATTGCGCGATTTCTTAAGAACGAAGCAATTACAACTTAACATATCATGATTGATATAAGGATCTTTCCTTTCCGCGTTATATACGTGGTCCCTTGAGAACGAAGCAACAACATATTATATTTATATATTCCTTGTAGGTTTCTTAATTTAAGAAAGAATCAACAACATATTATATATTGCTATATGATATATTACGTGAGTTGTTAAGAACGAAGCAACAACATATTGTCATATTATTTATAATCATATAAGAAATCTCTATTGACTTCCATATTATTTTTCCATTGGATCCAATTGACAGGCAATTTTCCAATGGACAGGTTATTTTGTCCATTGGATGCAATGGACAGGTAAAATTCCATTGGACAATAATTGGTCCAT